CCTAGGAGAGGGGACCTGCAGGGCAGTGTTGGGCGCATCTGTAGTGAGTGGGAAGGGAGCAAGCCCCCTGGTGGTATCACAGGGCACACTTGAGCCACCTTGAGGGGGGTTTTGGTGGGACGAGGGCTGATCGAAGGTCTTTCCCTTGCAGACGCCCCTCAGGTGGGGTTTCTGGGAAAGGGACACAGTCATACTGCTGGAGCCAACTGAAGGAGCTACCCGCAGGGATAGTGGAGAGCCACTTGGGGGTGGAGAGGGACGTGGTGCCTCCCGCAGTGTCACCTCTCAGGGGTCCTGATGTGGTCTGGGGCCCAGCCCTTCCCTTTAGTGTCACCAGCCCCGGGCCTGTGGACAAGTGGCAGCGTGAGCCCGGTCTGTCCATGAGAGACCCTTGCCTGCACGTCACAGGGAGCCCGGAGCGTGGAGGAGCTGGAGAAACGCCAACACAAACGGTTCCTTGTCTCCTCCAAGCACCGTTGATTTGCCCACACTCGTCACCGTTTGGCCTGGCTGTGTCTTACTGCTTCCACTTGGGGGTGGCTGTTTGCTGTCCCTCTCAGGGAATGGACAGCTGGGTGCCCTTGGCGGCTTCCTCCATTCTAAATAGATGCCTCTCGCCGGGCCAGAGCTGTCGCCCCATGTTGTTCGTTCCCTAGGCTAGACCCCCAGCCCCCCACCCCCAGGAGCAGGGCTGTGGAGTGAAAGAGTGTACCCACACCTGAAGCTCTTGCTACAGAGCGGGTAGAGATGAGCAAAACACAATTGCCAGAAAGGTTTGTATCAATCTCTACTTCCACCAGCAAGGGTGACGTCCCAGGCTCCCCCCTCCAGCCAGGACCGGCCCGGGCATCCGGCTGGAGACTTAGACTTGCTGACCATGAAGAAGAGTGTCCCACTCCCCCAGCCGGTCTGCTGGTTTGTGGCAGAACCCGGCCCCTTTGTCAGGATCCGCTCTCCTTTTCCTCTGGTGGCTTGGCCCTGCCATCTCTCCTCTCCTGGGTCTGGCACGTTTGTATGAGCTCCGTACCCATTAAAGACAGTCACCTGCCGTGAACCCTGCTTGCCTCTGCTGTTTGAACTCTGGGTGCTAACCGGCTCCTGCCTCCCTCAGCACTGCCTGCCCAATGGACGGTAGCTGCAATAAAGAAGGCTGGTCTGATCTGTCTGTCTGCTTCACTGGGCCGGGTCAGGGTGCTAGTCCGTCCATGCATGGAATTGTTGAACATGTGCTAACCTGTCTCTGCAGCCACTGGGGGCTGCAGACAGTTCTCTCAGTGAGGCGCCTGGTCTTCAGGCCCAGTCAAAACAGTGGATTCCAAGGGGGTCTGACAGGCCAGTCCCAGACAGGCCTGCCCAAAAGATGATGGCGACTGCTGATTGGGACCGCAGAGGGGCCGTCTTGAAAGGTCTCCCCAAGGGACACAGGACAACCCCGGGGCTTTCTCCCCAAGACGCTTCAAGACAATAGAGAGCCATGCTGGCCAGGGCCAAGCCCACAGAGTCATGCCGCGCTCTTTCCCTTCCCAGCCGTGTGCCTACTCATGCCAGGGCAGCCAGGGGCTGACCCAGGAGAATGTAGTTGGGGAACCTTTCCCCATTCGCCCTGCTCCCTTGCCCCTGTTCCCCAGACTCAAAGGAACATGTCAGAAAGGCCAGATGAACTTAATGCAAAGGCTCCCTGCTATCGATCGATGGAGTCCATGCTGACTCACTGCACCCCCTGTGGGTTCCCAAGATTGCCTACCACTGCAGAATGCAGTTCCAATTCATGACCACTCCCCCCCAGGGCTCCATGGTGCAAGTCAAAGAACTTAGAGTCCTCCTGGGAAGGAGCCAGAGCTGGGAGCCAGGAGCAGCACCTTCAGAAGCGCACGGACCTAGATAGAGGCCATGTGGAGAAGAGATAGCTCCCCGACTTGACATTGTCTCTGAGGGGTTCCTGCGGTGCTGCAGGGATACTGGTGGGCTTCCCCTTGTCCACGTGATGCGCCCAGCCATGGCCAGGACTCCATAGGCACCGGGTAGCCTTGGTGGACCTTTGGGGGCCAGGATGGGGGTGGGGTAGGGGAGAGTCCCCGCTAAGGGTCTTACAGGTTTTACTCTCAGGAGCATTTTGAGATGCTACGAACCCAAAGAGCTTCTGAGTCAAAAGGGGACTCCTGTCAACATTTGCCACATTCCCACGGGGAAAGTGGCACCACTTGAATTGGCATCAGCAGCCCGGCATGCGCGCGCATGTGTGTGTGTGTGTGTGTGTGTGTGTGTGAAAACCAGCATGGCAGAGACTGTGGAGTAGCATCTCATGCAGACTGCCCTCATCTCTGGGGGCCCCTCTGTCCCCTACCCTTGCCTCTCTTTCCTGCTGGAGGCTGCCTCTCGCCTCTCTCCTCTCAGGTAAGCTCTGGGTCTGGCCCCAGTGCCCGGCCCTGCAGGTGGCCCCTCCAGCTAAAAACTGGACATCTTGGCGGTCACTTTGAGGGTCCCTGCCCCAGTGTGAACACCAGCCCTTGTCCAAGGAGGGGGGAAATGGGGGGTCCTACTCCACTGTGGGTGGGGCAGGCAGTGCCCCCTGAGCTTCAGCCCCACTTCTCACCTGGGCTAGTTGGGCACTAGGAAAAATACTCTGGAGCCACACATGACCTCCCAGCTTCGCAGGATGCTACCCCAGCTCACATGATGAGCACCTTGGCTCCTCCTCCTTCCCGAGAGGCAGGACATCACCCTGCCCATACCATCCTTGATCACAAAGATCCTAAGTGCCGAATGCCCACCGGGTATCAGCCAACAGTGCACACCACTAAGGGGGCAACTAAAGGGGGCGTTACTCTCCCTTTGTGAGCAGCGTGGCCTGGGAGAACTTGGTGGCGTGGGAAAGAGCCCAGTGGATGGACTTCCCCTGCATGGCTGCCCCAGGGACGTGTGTGCACCTGGACTGGTAGGTCCCAGTGCCCACCCATCCTCCTCCTGCTTCTCCCTGCCCGGCCCTTTGTTCCCCAGCCTGTCCAGTGGAGGCTGACCCCTGCCTTGGGAGGGCCAGCTGTCTGGTGAGGGCTGGGACAGAAGGGACCCTGGCCATTTGAGGAGGAGCTTTGCTGCAAAGAAATACCCCTGCCCCTGCAGATGGGACAAGTCAGGGACAGCTGACTGATCTCACACTGCTGTGGCCTGATCCTCACAAAATAGGGTCATACTCCCCTTACTTCTGGTCAACCTGCCCCTCCCCCCGACTTGGAGTTGTGTGTGAAGAAGGAGCCCAGGTGGCACAGGATTACATGCCAGTGGGATAGTTGGCAGCTCCGTCTGCTTCTGTAGAGACTGCTGGCCTTGGAAACCCTTGGAGTGGTTCTACTCTGTCCCCCAGGGGTGCATATGACACCCCAGCAACATCCCAGTGGCTCCATGTCTCCCCGGGAAGAGCTTGCACGTGGGCCCACCCATGACCAGAAGCCACTGCTGATGTAGTTCGGAACGCTGTGCCAGCCTCGCCGGCCCCGGGCTGGTGGGGATGGCATTTCCATCAGTCCCTCCCGCCTGCTCTAGGAGAAGCTGCTGGCTGGCCTCCCAGCCTTTCCCCACCCACCCTGGACTGAAGCGTCCCTTTCCTGGCAGCCGGCAGTGTTGGTGACTGGTGGCCCTCTCCAGGACTTGCCCTCCAAGGTGTTAACTCCCCCTGCACCATGCTTCCTTCTGGAGGACAGCACACAGCCAAGGTGAGAGGATGTAGACAACACTGGGGGGCTGGAAAGGCTGAGGCCTTTGCCATGGTCACCCCATAACCCACGTCTCCCCTCTGCCCAGCCCTGCTTCCTTCTCCCCCCACGGCCGTGGGCCCATTGGTGGCTCCCAATACGTCCCCTGCAGGCCCATCTGTGTCTCAGCATGCACTGCCTGTGGAAGGTGACTGGTAAGAGTCCTGCCCACGGTTGGGTGCCATCAGGTTGGTTCTAAGTCATAGCTGGTTCTAAGTTACTTCCTGTTCACCTTCTCTTCTGACCTTGGTGTCTGACACGTTCAGACAAGGTGGCACATTCTTCCTGGCTTCTGACCCCCTTGCCTTGCTCCCGGCCGGGGGCGTGGGGTGGGGGTGAGCCATACTTTCTGGGGTTTTGTGCAAACAGCGAATGCCCTCACTGTTAACTGAAATATCGACGGTTCCAGGCAACGTGCTCCTGAGAAATCCACCATTGAAAATGCCACAGAGCACGATTCCACTCTGACACGAGAGGCCTGGGTGGCAGAGGTGACCTGATGGAACCCAGCCTTGGGTCCACTGGGAGGTTGCCACCTGGCTGCACAGTGCCAGTTCCTGTGGAGCTCTCTCATTGAGTCTCCCTAGGGCACGGTGGCATGGTGAGGAGAGGGGAAGTTCCCGGTCTCTGGTCACACGCTTGGTAGGACCACTTCTGGGACTTGGACTGGTCGTTGGACAGGGGGAGCCTAAGCACTACCTATCTGGTTTGACCTTCTCCCGTGACTACAGCGCTCGATTTAAGATGGGTTAT